GGGCCGTGGGTGGGCGGGAGAGAGCTGGGGGAGTCCGGGACGGAGCGGCAGGGAAGGGCCCCCCCCCGGCTGTAAGCAGAGAAGCCGCCTCCAGCCTCCTCGCTCTCTCTCTCTCTCTGCCAGGTCTTCCCAACAGCCCTGCGAGGGAGGCTGCCTTCTCCTGTGGGCTCCCGCAAGTGACCCCTCCGTCACCCTCCTGCCCAGCAAACCTCCTAGCTAATCTTTTCATCCCTCTGGAATCTGTCGTGCTGAGTAAGTGCCGGGGATTTCAGGCTTTCCTTCGGTGGTGGTGGTGGGGTTGTTGCCGGGCAATGGTGTTGCTGGGAAGGGGGCGCCAGGGGCCGTCTCCCCCCCCTTCCTCGTGCCTCTCCTCCCTGCCGACAGCTGCCTTTCCCGTTCTTTTCCCCGGCAGGCCCGATTCCCCCGGTCACCGTCTACGAGCGGAACGGCCTTAAGGCCCTGCTGCACTTCGCCAGGGACCCGGTGCCCGGCCAGCTGGCTGCCCGCGTGATGGTCCTCTCTCTCCTGAGCACGTCTCCTCAGCCGACCCAGCAGGTGGTGTTTCAGGCCGCGGTGCCAAAGGTGAGTGGCTGGAAGGGGCCCCTCTTTCCTCCGAACTCAGCCAGCCATTCACACTGGGGCTTTCTAAAAAAGCTGGCCGGCACCGAGAAGCCGAGAGTCCAGTAGCCTCCAGAGTCCGAGGAGATCTCTGGAAAATCTTGCGGCCTCTTTGAGAGTTCTTGGGAGCTAAGCTTGAATTGTGGTGTGATGGTTGGGAGCGCGGACTCTAACCTGGGGGAACTGGGTTTGATTCCCCACTCCTCCACATGCAGCCAGCTGGTGTGATCTTGGGTCAGTCACAAGTTCTCTCAGAGCTGTTCTCTCAGGAGCAGTCCTCAAAAGAGCTCTCTCAGCCCCACCTACCTCACAGGGTGTCTGTTGTGGGGAGGGGAAGGGAAAGGCGATTGTAAGCCACTCTGAGACTCCGAATGAAGGGCGGGGTATGAATCCAACAACAACAACTATTATTATTATTACTACAAACTTTGTAAGAAAGAGGAGAGAGAAGTCTGTCTAGCTAGGAGAATCAGCAGACTAAGAGTTCTCAGCAGGAGCAGGAAGGAGAGCTCGTTTGGTGTCGTGGTTAAGAGTGGCAGACTCTAATCCGGGAGAACCGGGTTTGATTCCCCACTCCTCCACATGCAGCCAGCTGGTGTGACCTTGGGTCAGTCACAAGTTCTCTCGGAGCTCTCTCAGCCCCACCCGCCTCACAGGGTGTCTGTTGTGGGGAGGGGAAGGGAAAGGAGATTGTAAGCCGCTCTGAGACTCCCCTGGGTAGTGAAGGGTGGGGTATAAATGCAACCTCCTCCTCCTCTTCCTCCTCTCCAGTCCATGTCCATCAAGCTGCAACCAGCCACAGGCTCCGCCCTGCAGGCCTTCAACCCACTCCTGCCCCCGGCGGTCATTTCCCAAGTCCTGCTGGTGGCCAACCCTCTCCAGGTGAGGGCCGGGGGGGGGCTGGGGGGGGAAGTTGGCAGGTGGGCTGGGTCAGCGTCCAGAGAACAGCGCTGGTGTGATTGCGGCACCAGGAGCGTTTGGCCCTGGCGGGGGGAGCCGTTGCCGCTGGCCCAGTGCAGGACGGGGGGGAGGGGGCAGGAGGGCGTGTGGGGGCGCTGCAGAGATTCTGACCCTTTCTTCTCCCTCCTCAGGCTCCCCTGCGACTGAAGTACCGGCTGCTCTACACCCAGGGCCGGCAGCCCCACTGCGAAGAGGGGGAGGTGACCGATTTCCCCCACGCGGAGCTCTGGGGAGGGAGCTGAAGACAGTGGAAGGAGGGGGGGGAACGGAGCTTGCCCTCAGATTTCTGGGAGGGGCTGAGGATTTACTCGGCATCCTCTTTCTGTGAACCAATCAGCACCTTTTTGATAAAAATGTTCAGACTTTATGGATCGCATGGGGTTGGGAGTGGCGGGGTCTAATCCCGGCGGGACGGGGTTGGTTCCCCTGCAGCAAGCTGACCTTGGGTCAGTCACAAGTTCTCTCGGAGCTCTCTCAGCCAGTGTTCCCTCTCAGCTGAGTTAGTGTGAGCTAGCTGACAGTTTTTTAGCCTCCGGCTCACGCATTTTTGTCTCAGCTCAGGGAGGATGGGGCTCCAGAGCAAAGTAATGTATCCAGTAGCCAAATCGCTCGCTCACCACTTTAATGCCAGGAGCTGACAAAGTAGGATTTCTGCTCACAGCACAGCTTAGAGGGAGCCTTGCTCCCAGCCCCACCTACCCTCATAGGCAATGCTCCCTCTAAGCTGTGGAGGTTGGTGTAGCTCCAGGGAGGTGAGCCATTGAGGGGGAAACTCCGGCCTGCTCTTCTTGGCCACTGGAGGGAGGCCTCCCACCCACCCTCTCAGCGTTTTCTGATGAATTCTGCTAGATTCGGGGAGGGAGGGGAGTAGCTACCTTGGTCTGAAGCAGCGGGACAGAGTTGGAGTCCAGGGGCACTCTTAAGACCAACAAAAGTCTTATTCTGGGCATACGTTTTCGTGTGCATGCAGACTTCTTCAGATAAAGCTTATACCCAGAATTAAACTTTTGTTGGTCTTAAAGGTGCCCCTGGACTCAAACTTTGTTTGGATGAGTTTTTTGTTGCCTTTCCAGCCACTCAGGGTCCACAAGGCACCTAACTGTAAAATAAATAAATAAAATCAGAATCTTTAAACAATAAAAATGCTGTTAGAAACAGAAACATTCAATTTAAAACGCCCAAAGAATACTAGAGAATGAAGTCTTCACCTGCTAGTGAGAGACACTGGTCGAGGGAGAAAGGCAGATCTCGCAGGAGAGGGAGTTCCAAAGTTCTGGTGATGTAACTCACAATTCCTCTGGAGTTCTGGGCTGTGCCCCCCACCAGAGGAAATCTGGATTGGAACCACCGTGGAGAGAGTGCGCTGGACCACCTCGTCTGCCTCTCAGGTCTGAATACGGCCCAGTTTGTGGATGAAGAAGTGTGGAGTGAAGCTTGCCGCTCGTCAGGATCTTTTGTTTGCGGGCTAAACCCCAAAGCAGCCTTTCCACCAGAACCAGTTTCAGTCGGCAACATGCGCCTGGGGCCCACAAGCTGTCCAAATCGTGCCCCTGTTCCTGCAAGTCTATCAAGCGGCGTTTGAATTTGTCCTCCGTTTTTCCCACGTGGGTCTGCTGCCGGTGCTGTGGGAGGGAGCTTCACCCTCATTCTGTCCTCTGATCCATCCTGGGTTTTGCACACATGAAACACCAAAGGTGGAGGGAGTGGAGGTGGCAGAGAAAGCTGGATGCACCCGGCTGCGGATCCTCTAGGGCAGCTTTTGCAGACTGGTCCTTGGGCAGAGTTGCTTGGGCAGAGCAGCAAGCCCCGTGGCAGAGGGAGCTGGGCAGCTGGCACACACCGGCATCACCAGGAAAGGTGCCCCGGGAGCAGGACGGGGGGGGGGGAGACCCCCTGCCTGCGGGGCTTCCCAGTTTCTCCCGCTGCCCTTGTTGTCTCTGCTCTTCTCACCCGAGCCACCCTGCTCCCGTTCTCTGTACAGGCCTGACTGGCGTTATCTGTCAAAGGCTGGCACAGTCCCTGTTCATTTCAATGAGGCTTGTGCAAGTGGACTCCCTGGCGGATGGCTCCGGATCTGCTGCCTGGCCCCGGGGAAGTGCAAAGACATTCACACTGAACGCAGGAGCTGTGAGGAGGGAGGGGCCTGTGAGAACCCCCGTGGGTGTTTGCACGCATGGGGGAGGGGGGATCTAATAAACAATTGCATTTTTAAAATGTTTTATGAGGTTGTAAAAAGGTCGGCAGTTCGAGACCCGAGTGTGCCGCATGACAGAGTGAGCTCCCGTCTCTGGCCCCAGGTCCTGCCATCCTAGCAGTTTGAAAGCAAGAAATTGCAAGGAGATAAATAGGCACCGCTTCGGTGGGAAGGTCACAGTGTTCCGTGCGCCTCGGCGTCTAGTCATGCCGGCCACATGGCCACGGAAACGTCTTCAGACAGCGCTGGCTCTTTGGCTTGGAAACGGAGATGAGCACCACAACCCTAGAGTCATCTTCGACTGGCTTTCGAGCAAGGGAAGCCTTTACCTTTACCCTAAATCACCCAGAGCCTGCTTGCAAGGTGGGCGATTCACAAGTCCAATGAAATAAATAAAATTAATGAGGTTGCATTCAGGCCTTAGATAGTCTGCCAAGCAGGATCGCAAGCGGGAACTGGCTCAGCCAATCAGTGTCAGTGACATACTCGTACAAGGGTACACTCTTCCCTGAGATTAGTTCTGTGGGGGGGGGGATTGGGGAGGTGCTAAGCAAAACCTTCTATGAGTCCAAAAGAGCCTGCCCCCGGGTCTCAAGGAAGGGTGTTTTGTCTGTGCATGAATTCCTGTTGTACCGGGAGGAGGCTGCCCGCTGCGCCCCTGCAGGAGCGCCTGCTTTTGACAGGCTGCTCCTCTTCCGACCCGCCCGCGTGGCCCACTTCGTCCTCCGCCCTGAAGGAGGCGCTGCAAAGACGAAGGATTCCGATTGGCTGGAAGGACCAGCTGAGCGTCCAGCAACCAATCGCAGGATGACGTGCGTCTGGAATAGGCGGGGTCTGTGAACCAATGCGGGTCCGCGTTAAGCCGTGCTGGGCCAATGGCAGTCGTGTGCGGAGGAATTCCCGGAAGTCTCCGAAGGAAGGGCGTGAAGCCGCGGAAGGCGGAGCTACGGAAGGCACAGAGGCCCTCAGTCGAGATGGCGGCTAGCTGGGTGGGCTGACGGCGCCGCAGGCAGGTAGGGCGAGGTTGTTGCGGGCTGCGCGTGCGCGCAGGTGAGCTCCCGGGGCACCCCTGGGGGTGGGGTGTGCGTAAAAGTGAGTTAGGTGGAAGCATTTGTAGTAGGCCTGATTCCAGCGGAGGGCAAACTTCGTAGCCTAGCCGGGCTCCCTTCTTCCTAGTGCCGTGGGCAGACCAATGGAGCCTCCTTGTCCCGAGGAAGTCTACCTGTACGGGCAGGGAAGTTGCTGCCAATGGGAAACCAGCGCAGTAGGGCGGGTGTAGACCCATTTCTGCTTGCTGCGATGGGATTTTGTTTGCGCAAAGAAAAGCCCCGTGCTGGGATCCGTCCCTTGCCTATTTCTGAGCTCCCGCCGTCCTTGTCTTCTCGCATGTGTGGACCAGACCTGGGAGACTTGGCCTAGCTTTGCACAATCCACCTCACAGGTCTGATGAAGGGGGAAGAGGAGGGTGCCAGGCTCCAGGTGGCACCGGGAGATTTCCCGCTATTGCAATTGATCTCTAGCTGACTGAGAGCAAGTCCCCCCTGGAGGAAATGGCTGCCTTGGAGTGTGGACCCTAATTGACATTATTATATCCCCCATGGAAGCCCCCTCCCCTCCCCATGCCCACAGTCTCCAGGTATTTCCCAGCCCGGATCTGGCAACCCTGCTGCATTCTGTCCTGTGCTCCACGGAGGGAAGGTCTAACAGGGAGCTGGGGAAACGCCCTTGCTTGGGGGGGATCTAGGCCTCCCAGTGGGCTCAGCACCTGCCCGGCTGTGTTTTGGGGGCAGCGGCTGAGCCATTTGGACGCCTGGTTGCTTTGGACCTGAAAGATCGTGGGAATGCCACGCTGTGTACCTTATGCAGCCCTGTGTTTAGAAACTGGGTTGAATTCTGTGGAATCGGGTGGGTGGCTAAGGGCAGTAAAATACTGGCTGCGTCTTCATTACAGTGTGGACCAAGGAAGCCTTCGACCACAAATGCTCACAGAGTCAAATGTGTCCAAATGGCGATCACACATTGAGAATAAAATAACTGCCATGGGCGTCCTACTGGACTCACTCTTCATGCTCCCATTTACAGGCGCTTTTCAGATGATTAAACGTAGAGTCCTCGACACTGAAATGCAAAGGCTTAGCCAACAAATCTTGTTTCCCCCTGAACTTTGAGATGCCCCTAATGGTAGGCTGAATGGCCCCATATATATAGTAATCCTTTTAAAGGTATTTTATGCCAATAAAGGTGAACTGAACCTGTAAAGCCCTATATGGCCGGGGTCCAACATACCTACGGGACCGCCTTTCCCCATATATACCCCAGTGAGCACTACGGTCTGGGTCTCAAAATCGGTTGACCCTCCCTGGCCCGAGGGAGGCCAGGCTTACCACTACCAGGGCCTTCTCGGTGGCGGCCCCTACCTGGTAGAACGAGCTCCCGGAGGAGATCAGGGCCCTGTGGGACCTCTCACAGTTCCGCAGGGCCTGCAAGACGGAGCTCTTCCGCCAGGCATACAATTAGGGGCCGCCACCCTAGTGCACGGCCCATAATGTTAACATTGAGCAGCTGCCTCAAGAACGAGCAGAATAATATCTAAACACTTTATGTGGAATAACACCAAAGCACTTTGTTGGAAAGCACTTTATTCGTTTGATTTTTAACTGCCGCCAGTATTCTGATATTTTGTAATGTACTATTTTAAATGCTGTGTTTTAATTCTGTATTTTTTATGTTTTTATTCTGTATTGTTGTGTTTGTTGTTGGAAGCCGCTCTGAGCCTGCTTTGCGGGGAGGGGGTGATGGTGTACATTTGACTATAAATACAAAAATAAATAAATAAGCTTCAGTCTTGCCTCTCTCTCAGATGGAGAGTGGTTGGGCTGGACACACTCGACTTGAGAGCTGGGTAGGGATCTCCGGGAATTACAGTTCATCTCCAGGCCGCAGTTCCCTGGGAGAAAAGGGCTGCTTCGGAGGGTGGATTCTGTGGCCCGGTGCCCCACTGAGGTCGCCTGTCCTCCCCGGGCTCCACTCTCAAGTCTCTAGGAGTTTCCCAACCTGGAGCTGGCAACCCTGGGGCTGGGTCGATGCTAACGCCCGGCTCCCTTCTGCCCTCTCAGGGCCTCCCACCACCACTGCTGCTGTGCCCCCCGCAAGGGGGTGCTGCAGGGCCAGCATGGACTTC